TAATCGGGATGGGTGTGTCAGAGGCAGTGCGGTTGGCGCAGGATAGAGCAGGGTTTAGGGCTGTTGTGCATAGGGTCGCTATGAGTCGCAAATGACTCGATGGCCCATAACAACAACAACAACATTTTACATTGTTTTGCAGACTATTTTGGGAGAGAGGTGAAGATTATTTTAGTTTTATTAGGTTTCTAGGGGGGATTTTGTCTATGAAAAATTTCTCCCCTCTATTATGTATGTTTTGAAAGAAAAAGTTTATTCCAAACTTTTTATGAAATGATTGAAATTTATAGGGCAAGTTGACTTTCTATTCAATCTCTTCTCTCTCTCTCTCCCTCCTTCCCTCCCTCCCTTGTTGGTTTTTGAATATAAACCAATTCATAGCTGACCCTCCCTTTAGTTTCTGAGGCTGTAATAGCACCAAAAGAGTGTCTATCTTTATTCCAAAGCGTGAATTCGAACTGCCAGAGAAAAGAAGTCTCTGGGGTTAGCAATTACTTTACAGTCAATATGTCCTTTTGAGTGAGATCTGGTGAATTTGTGGTTAAAGAGCTGCACTAGCAACCCAGAAGCCGGGGGTTCAAATCCACCCTGGTAAGAAGATGGGAGGGGGCACTACACGTCACTATGAGTTGTGCTCGACTCAATGGCAATCAACAACAACAGCCTCACTACACAGGAAGCCCTGGTGACATAGTGTGCGACATGTTGGGCTAATGACCACAAGGTCATTAACCCACTAGAATCCACCAACCACTCCCCTGGAGAAAGAGGGGCCGTCTCCCAAAAAGATGTACCACATCTAACACCTGCTAGGTCTCCAGGAGGCGGAATCCACTCAATATCACCAGATATTATTATCATCTCACAGAGAAACATTAAGCAGTCAACATTTATAAAGATAATTGCCTTTGTAACCCTTTGGGTCAGTTCTGTGCTGGCCTTATAAAGTTGTTATCATTGGAATCAATTCAATGTTACACTATATTTGATCCCCTAGAGAGATAGAAGACCAAGGAAGAGAAGGAAGGGGAACCAGGGGCTTGAGATGAGGGAAACAGAGGATATGGAGGGGCAGATCAAAGAACATAAAGAAGGGTAATGAGAGGCAGAAAGGAGGGGGACTGAGGGGTATAACGAGGAGGTCAGCAAGGGAATACAAGCCATGGTATTTTTGATTGTTCTGTATGCCTGTGGCAGTTGGCCAACGAATAAGGAAGACTAAGAATTGATGCCTTTGAATCATGATGTTGGTGAAGGACTCTTGACTATCCCATGGACTGAGGAGAGAATGAACCAATCTGTCTTGAAGAAAGTACCACCAGGGTCCTTTCTAGAGGCAAAAGCTGACTCAAAGTGCTTGCCATTGAGTTGGCACAAACTCATAGCTGATGTCTCAGAGGGCTGTCAATTGAACAAGAAAAGATTATTCTCTTTCTCCATCAGAGTCACTGAAAGATTTGAACCACCAGGGAGGGACCAGACTGGGGTTGACAGGTTGCTCACTGTGGACTGAGCCCCTAGAGTTCTCAACTCAGAGACCAGCTTCCTCAACCTTCATCTCACATACGTCATCAGGAGATATTAGTCCATGGTGAAAGACATCACGCTGGGGACAGAGGGTGAGGCAAAGAGAACAAGACCTTCAATAAAATGGACTGTAACAGCCCTTGAAAACCCTCTGGAGGCTCAGCTGTGAGTCAGTTCCAACTTGACAGCAGGCATTGCGGGTTCTGGATTAAACCTCACATCCCAGATGTGGGTTATCAAGCTCCTTGTGTGCATGGCATTGTGCCCTCCCCTCCACCACCCTGTCTTGGACAGCGAGGCTTCCCAGCCCCCAGCGCCTTTGTGAGGTCTGGGTGAAGCTCCGAGCAGAACTCTGGGTGCTCCATTAAGGTCTTTAGTGCACAGGGGGCATAGTGGGTTGTGACAGAAGGTTCAGGGTTCGAACCTGCTGGGCGCTCTGGTGCACATTTTGCATCTGAATTGGCTTTACAGCAATGGGTTTGTTGTCCGGTGTGGGTGGGTTGGGTTGGGTGGGTGTCACTTTATCTTCATGTCCTCCTTTAAGGAAACACCGAATAATCATCTTCGTTATTCCTTTGTCCCACCTGGGTTATGGAAGGTCCTTCCTGGGCACCTGGGGCCATAGGGTGGGTCTGAGAGAGGCGGGTCCTGGGGGGGGGACAAAGTCTTAAAGGTGGTATTTAAAGCCTGGCCTCTGAGGGACCCAGGTGTTCACAGCGAGCCAGAGAGGAAAGGACATCACTGAGCAGAAGAACGGAGAGTGGAAAGCTTCTAGGAGGCTATCTGTACATGGAATGTTCCCTGTGAGAAAAAGGGGGAGAGGAAGCTGTTGGGTTCTTCTTCGTGAGTCCAGGGTTGGGAGAAGGGGGGAAAGGAAGTGGCATGGGGAGGAAGAGGCTTAAGGTGGGAGAATAAGCCTAGGGTGAGGGAGAACAGGCCTAGGATGGAGGAAACAGGCATGGGGGATGGGAAAAGGGGGGGCGAGGAAGTGGCCTGGAGCAGCAGGCTGGATTCGATGTGGGACCCGAGCCAAAGAATGTGGAGGTTCCATTAAGGCATAAACTTTAATATGTATGTATGTATGCATGTATGCATGTATATATGTATGTATGTATGTGTGTGCGCGCGCGTGTGTGTGTATTTAGCTAGCCCGCCCAAAACCGGCGGGTGCATTGTACCACCAGCCGCTCAGTGCTGCCGAGGGAGAACAGGGAAACCCTGTGGCCTTCCCAGGTGGCTATAATCGAGTCAGACAGACTCTCCTTGAGGGCAATGCATTTGGGTTTTTAAATTTTTTGTTGTTGTTGTACCTATTTCAAAGATGTGAACATTAAGGCTGGAAGGTTTGGAACTAAGATTAGCTTGGTCCAAGAAGAGGATGTAGGTTGCAGAGGCAGGTTGGGGTGAGGGTGGGGGACTGGGCTGATCCACTTTGCTTGCTTTCAGATCCTAACGCAGAGGTCCAATGTAGGTAGGCTGCGCCAAGCGCACACTGTCTTCAACTCCTATCAGAGGCATGTGCTCGAGCAATATTTTAAAAAGAATTGATTCGTTGTGTAGGAGGAATGCTTGGCTCTGGCCCGAGAGCTGAATCTTCAGAAACACCAAATTCAGGTCTTCAATGGGATGGTTAAGTGGACAGGGAGCGTCCCCACAGTCGTGCAGAGCCTGGTGGCATAACAGATTAGGACCCCTGCGCCCGCCCGGGAGCCCACCTTCTTTAGCCTATTGCCAACAACACAATACGAGGGCAATTACAGCCAGGACCAGGCCTCCGGGGGGGCCCTTGCTCAAGGCACTCAGTGGGATGCTTTTCCGCCCCCAGCCTATACCCAATATCCAAGTGTCACGGGTTACTCGCTGGAATCATCCAAGAGCTCCAACTTTTCTGGGGGTTTTACAGATCTGCGGAGTCCTTCCAATGTCTAACAGTCCGTGGAGAAGTCTTTGGACTTGATGAATGGGAAGCCTCGTTTGCTGGAGTTGTAAGGTCCTCTGGCTGTGCCCGCAGTGCCCTGCAATCCCACAGGGAGCCAGCCAGATGGGGGCGAAGCACCACGCGCAGCTCTTACAATTCAGCTCGGCTCCCAGTCAGCATGGGATGCCTGTCTGTTTTCGCTTTCTAACTCATCACCCAAATTGACACTTTCTTTTTTTTTTTTTTTTGACACTTTCTTTTAAAAGATCTTCAGTCTGGTAGCCTGTGACTTCCTTGGGCTTGCAACAATTTTTTTTTTTTTAGAAATTGATACTTAATTTGGTATTAATAATTTTGAACTTTTTAAATTTGCATTCATTCATTGTGACATTTTCCGCCGTTCCCCCCTCCCCTCAGTTAACTTTTTTCATTGGAAAAGAAATTCTTCTATTTTCACCTCTTAACTTCTCTGGGCTTTTAACATATCTGCAGAGGCCTTCCAATGTTTATCAGTCCCTGGACATGGCTGTGTACTTTATGAATGGGAACCCTTGTTTGCTGGATTTGTAAGGGACGCTGGCGATGCCCATGGCGCCTTGAAATCACAGTGGGAGCCAGATGGGGACACTTTGGCATAGGTTTCTGAGGGGTGTTTGTCTATGAAGAATTTCCCCCCTTATGTTATGAAATAAAACGTTTTTTCCAAACTTAATTATGAGACGAGTGAAATTTATAGAACATGTTAACTTTCCTTCAATCTCTCCTCTCTCACTTTCACTCGTTGGCTTTTGAATCTAAACTGACTCATAGCTGATCCTCCCTTTAGTTTCTGACGCTGTAATAGCACTGCAAGAAAGTGCCTGTCTTTCTTCCCTAAACTCTGCTCTGTCCTGTGCCAATCACACTGTCTCCGACCTACCCATCCCGATTACCCCAGTCACTGAATCAATCCACCTCGTAGAGGGCCTTCCCCTCCTGCACTGTCATTCCACCCTGCCAAGCATGATGCCCCTCTCCAAGGACTGGTCCTTCCTTACAACATGTCCAAAGTATGTTAGACGGAGCCTCAGAATCCTTGCCTCCAGGGAGCAGCCCAGTTTAACCCTTTCCAGGATGAATGTTTTCTTAGCAATCCATGGTACCCTCAGTACTCTTCTCCAGCACCACAGCTCAAAGGCATCAAAAAACCCACTGTGAGGCAAGCAGGGGAGACTGAGAGGCAGAAGATGGGGAAATAGAGGGCAGGAAGTGGAGCACTGAGGCAGAGAAGGCAAATGAATACAGCCTGAAGTCCTCTCTGCATGGATACCACTCCAGTTGTTCTGCTGTGATCCATCACAATCTCCTAAGAATACATCCTGACTTGTCTCCAGACTTGCACACTGAAGAATGCAACATCTTGATGAACTTGTTGAAGGAATGCCAACCAAAATCACAGCGTCCTGAAATTTTTTTGGTCACTGCAGTGATCTTGATCGTCAGATGAAGAAATGCCTAGAGAATGAGTATGCGGGAAAGAGGACCAAGAGCAGGGAGTATGGCAATGCGATGAGGAGACTCTTGAGTCCTCCAGATGAGTCGGGAAGATGAATTTTGTTTTCATTGGATGGCCCTGGCTGAGAGAAGACCCAAAGACTTTTGACGGATGGTCGAAAGAATCTGTCTCCCTTGGTCTTCGTGATCCTGTGACTGCCTAAATCTCATCCACTTCTGTCCTAGAAGAAATGGGGGACTTCAGAGTTCTGAGCATTTGTTAGGGGACACTTTACTAGTAGTTGTCTCTCTTGCCAAGACACCTGACCAAGACAGGCTCTCTTCCCTTTGTCTAGAACCAACTGGCATCAAATAACTTGCTTCCCTCAATAAAATAACTTATTTTAATTGCCAAAAAATCCCCACCCAAAAACATATGAATGAATACGTGAAAATTAAAAACCACCAAATACCAACAAAACCCACAGAGCAAGCTCCAAGTAGCTGCAGACACAGTCACGTGATTCAAAGTGTTGTAATATGACATGACTGATCTGAGTATCAAAAAGGAATTTAAAGCAAAAGGCAAATTACCACAGTTTATTTCTTTATTTTTGCATGTTTTCTCTCTCCCCACCATAGAGTTTTAGACTTCTAGGCTTTGGTGGCTAAGCGGTAAGGAGTTACATTCCCAACCCAAAGGTAGACGGCTCAATTCCACCAGCTGCCCCAACGGAGAAAAGTGGGAAATGTCTTCGTGTGCAGATTAGCTACACCTGAAAAGCCCTGAAGGATTAGCTGTGAGTCAGTTCCTACTCGATGAGACATAATAGGCTGGACTCATGGAAAATGTTTTTGTTGTTAGAATTAGCTACACAAATTTTGGGTTTGTTTTTAAGAGTGCAGATTTTCATACCATCATTCACAGATGTTTTGCCTTAACTTGATGAGCATCATTAATTACACTATCTAATCAACCCCGAAGAGCAATGGTGTCTTTCTGGAGACTAAGGTGTGTCTGATACAGGCCATGGTCTTCGCAATCACTTGCTATGCATCAGAGAGTTGGACAATGACCAAGGAGGACAGAAGGAGAATTGATGCCTTTGAGCTGCGGTGCTGGAGAAGAGTATTGAGAATACCATGGACTGCTAGGAAAACAAACAGATTTGTCCTGGAGAGGGTTAAACCAGGTGGCTCCTTGGAGGCAAGAATTCTGAGGCTCCATCTAATATACTTCGGACATGTTGTGAGGAGAGACCGGTCCTTGGAGAGGGACATCATGCTTGGGAGGGTGGAGGGACAGCGCAGGAGAGGAAGGCCTTCTATGAGGTGGATTGATTCAGTGACTGGGATAATTGGGATGGGAGTGTCAGAGACAGTGCGATTGGCACAGGACAGAGCGGAGTTTAGGGCTGTTGTACATAGGGTCGCTGTGAGTCGCAAGCGACTCGACAGCACATAACAACAACAACAACAATCAACCCTGTGCCGCACACGGCCTTTCCCCTCCTTCTATTTGGATATTTTTATTTCCCTTCCTCTCCTCCTCCCTCTTAATCATTCGCCCCACCCTGCTACTCCTGCGAAATTAACTGTGTGTAAACATTTATTGGTCTGTTTTCTCTTTTTATTATAGAAGTCTTACAATTCAAGTGTCTTCTTTTTTTCTCTTCAGACCTTAACTCAATCCTGTTTTTTAATTTTTTGCTCCTCTGTCCCTCCCTCTCATTCTTGTTAGCCAATATTGGCATTGCTACTTATAAACCTTTTCTTAGCTTTTAATACTAGTGGTCTTATGCCATAATTATCATGTTTTGTAACTGACTTCTATCACTCAGCATCATTTGTCCTAGATTCGTGCACAGTATTTCATGAAATCTTCATTTTTCAGTGACGTCGGATACACCATTGGGTGGAATATAACACGTTTCGGGGTTTTTATAATTTCCATCCCTGAACATCAATAGCATAGTTTCTTTAGCCCTTTATCTGTTGATGGATGCTTGGATTGTTTCTATTGTAAATAGTAAATATTAATTGCAAGTGTTGCTGTTTTTGATTACCTTCAAGTCAAGCACGAGCACGACTCATAACGACCCTGTGAACAAAAGGCCTGAAGCCTCTTGACAAATAACTACATTTGTCAAACTTCACCGAGTTTCTAGAGCAATGTTCTTTAGGAAATGGAGGGCATTCCTACTAGTGCTGTAATAAACAGAGGTTTGTGCATGTCACTTTGCATCCCAGCTCTTGTTTCTTTCGGATATAAACCTAGTAGCGAGACTTGTCTGTTCCCACTTTTTTAAGGAAGCACCAAACTTTTCCATAAGGGTTACACTATTTCACACTCCCACCTGGAGTGCGGGAGAACTCCAATTTCTCTCCAGCCTCTGCAGCATTTGTTGTTTGCTGTCTTATTGAATCTTGCAATGGTTGCTGGGAAGCATTGTTTGGCTGCTGGGGTTTATTGTGTTTTTGTTGTTGTTGTTTTTAAAGGAAATGTCTCTGCTGAAACACTGCACAAAGACGTTTTGTAGACAGTCATTTTGGAGAATTCTGGCAGTGTCACCTATTGATATCTGTGCCCCTGCCCCCTGGGCTGCTGAGTCTCACTTGCACCTCCTGTTCTACTCTACTCTCTCCAAACTGCAGAACAAAATTCACTGATTATCAGCTCATAGCTGAGCCTCCAGGGGTTGTCAGGGAAGAAGGCGGGCACTGTGACCAAGACAGACTGATACAGGGACTGTACCAACGGGCTTGGGCATAACCAATGGAGAGAACGGCACAGGGTAGTCTTGCAAGTTGCTCATAGGGTCGCTGGGAGTCTTAGTCACTTCAAGGACACCTGATAACAACAGATTCAGTAGGCCACCAACCTGGACACCTGTGCAAAAACTAACTTGACTGAAATCAGTGCAAACTGAAGTTCAAGTTCCAGGCAAGCTTGGTTCTCGAGCTTAGATATGTTGCTCATGGCATCAGCAATGTTGATTTTGGTGGTGTTTGACAAGAAATTCTGTGCCAAATGCACAATTGCTTGATGGCAGCGTTAGACAGGCAGTGAGAATGGCCAGCACGCGGCACAGAGGTCAAGAGGAGGGGAGCACCTGCTTTTGTAAAACGAAGCCTCAGACTTGCTCCAGCCAGGATTGGCAGCGCCCTACAAGTGGTCAAAAGTGGCCAATGAAGCACTAAGAAGCCAAATGCGTGGCTATTTGAAATTTTCGTTGCCTTTGAGTTCACACAACGTGGGTGTATACCCCCGTGTCCAGTCTGCCATGTGAGCACGTCTAATAAATAGGGGTCTCGAGTGGCCTAGTGCGAAGGGGGTTGCACAGGCAACACAAAGCCCCGTGGTTTGAATCCACCGGCTACTCTGCAGGAGAATGTTGTTAGATGAGGGAGAGTCTGACCCATAAGGAGCCCATGAACCATAGATCTGAGCCCTGCCCCGTCCTGTGCCAACCTCACAGCCTCAGACACACATCACCTGCAGTCACTGTGTCAATCCATGTACCAAGGGAGGGTCTTCGTCCCCTTCGCTGACCCTCCACATGTCCAAGCAGGATGTCCCTCTCCAAGGAACAGCATCTCCGAGCTACAGGCCCAAAGGATGCGAGAGGACGCTCCCCCATCGTTGCCTCCAAGGAGCAACCTGACGTCACCTTCTCCAAGAGAGATCTGTTATTTGGGCGCCATGGACTGCCCTGCAGGTGGAAGGTGGGCGATCACCTCCCTTGAGATTTCCCGCCCTTGAAAACCCTCTGGAGGCTCAGCTGTGAGTCAGTTCCAACTTGACAGCAAGCATTGCGGGTTCTGCATTAAACCTCGCATCCCAGGGGCGGGCTATCAAACTCCTTGTGCACATGGCACTGGGCTGTGCCCCTCCCCCATCTTGTCTTGGACAACGAGGCTTCCCTGCCCCCAGTGCTGTGTGAGGCCTGGGTTAGGCTCTAAGCAGAACTCAGGGTGCTCCATTAAGGTGTTTAGTGCGCATGTGGTGTAGTGGATTACAACAGAAGGCTCAGGGTTCGAGTCTGCTGCGTGCTGTTGTGTACATTTTGCATCTGAATTGACCTTACAGCGATGGGTTTGTTGTTGGGTGTGGGTGGGTTGGGTTGGGTGGGTGTCACTTTGCTCCTCTTTGGTGGGAGAGAAGAAGTTCTGAGTTGATCATCACGCCCTCCCTCAAGGAAATGAAAACTAATTATCTTTGCTACTCCTTTGCCCCACCTGGGGTTGATTGTTTATCGAAGCTCCTTCCTGGGCTCCTGGGCCCACCGGGTGGGTCTGAGAGAGGCAGGTCGTGGGTGGGTACAATCTTAAAGGTGGTATCTAAAGCCTGGCCTCTGAGGGAGCCAGGCATTCACAGCGAGCCAGACAGGAAGGACTTCACTGAGCAGGACTGAACGAGCGGAAAGCCTCTGCAAGGATGTCGGCTCCCAGCGAGTTCCCTGTGGCAAAGAGCCGGGGGAGGAAGGTGTTGGGTACATCTTCACAAGGTGAGTCCGGGTTTGTAGAAAGAGGAGCAGGGATGGGGCATGGTGTGCATGGTGAGAGGGGGCCTGGGGAGGAAAAGGCGGAGAAGCCTAGGGTGAAGGGAAAAGGCCTAGGGTGGGGGAGGATGCATAGGGGTCCAGGAAAGGGGACGGAGTTGCAGGGGAGGAGGAGACCTGTAGCAGGGCCAAAAAACTTGGAGGTTCTAGCAAGGAACGAAGTTGTTTGGTCCAGCTTCTTGCACCGTGCTGGGGAGACAGGGCCTCTGTGTGTTTAGGGGGCCTGCTCGCGGGTGGAGATAGCACCTGGCCCCTCCAGGTTTGGCCGGGGCTGCACACCCACACTTTCTTGCCTCTGGAACCATCTGTAGGATCAGCTGGAAGTCTGAGCGAGCAAGGAGTGAGCTCTGGTGGCTTCGTTGGAAGGCATTGCACTGCTGGCTTACAGGCCCGCGGTTTGAAGCCACCCGCTGTTCGGTGGGAGAAAGATGGGCAATCCCCTCCCACGTGACGTCCAGCCTCTCACGCCCCACAGAAGGGTCAGCTGTGACTCTGCTGTGATAACACGTCAACTGGGGAGCAAGGAGATTTGTGTGAGGAGCCCAAGGGACGCGTGTGCACTGAGCGTTGTACCACCAGCCGCTCGGTGCCACCGCGTGAGAACAGGGAAACCCTGTGGCTTTCCCAGGTGGCTGTAAGCGATGTGTCAGACAAATTCTTTTTGAGGCCAATGCTTTTGGGTTTTTCAAAAGAGGGTGGTGTTTTTTGGTGGTTTTGTCCCCCCCCCCCCAATTGAACCCATTTCAAAGATGTGAACATGAGGCTGGAAGGTTTGGAAATATGATTGGCTTGGTCCGGGGAGAGGACGTAGGGTTGCCAGGGCGGGGTGGGTGGAATGGGGGCCTCGGCTGACCCACTTTGCTTGTTTCAGATCCTAATACGGCGGTCCAGTTTAGGCGGCGCCAAGAGCGCACAGTGTACACTCACGAACAGAAGGAAGTGCTCGAGGACTATTTTACAAAGTCCAGATTTATTGGGCATGAGGACTGCTTGGCTCTGACTGAAATACTCCATGTTTCAGTTCACCAAATCCAGGTCTTCACTGGGATGGTTAAGAGGGTGGGGAGCGTCCCCATAGTCGTGCAGAGCCCTGTGGCATAATGGATAAGGACTAACTTCGAGTAGAACTACCCAGTCACCATGGGTCTTATGTCAACACTGCTGCCTTGTGCTCCTTCTAAGGCAGTTCTACTCTGTTATCCTGGGGAATTAGAGTGGGAATAACAGTAGAAATTAACCCAACAGGAACATGGGCGCTTATGAGTCTTGAGAGACCCTCCTTGCAGCCTTGTAGGTGTGCCCTGTCCCCATCCTGTCCCCGCCCTCTGGATCCTCCTGAACCATCTCCCCAAAACAACCCAAACCACCTGTGTGGATCCTAAGGCTTGTGTCATTTCAACCAAGTTCCCTAGGCTTTTCTAGCTTGTGGCCTTGGGGAAACTGATCAGGCACAGGGTAGTGGGCTCGGGAGAGTGGATTCCTTCCAAGTGTGTAAATATTTCTCTGAAAGACTGAGTTCATGGAACTACCATTCATGGAACAGCAAGCAGTTGGAGACGTCACACGCTGTGCCCCCAGACCTGCCGCCCTAAGACTGAGGGGTCTTCTCATCGGGTCTAGGTAGAGGGAGGCGGGAAGCTCCCCTCCTCCATGCAGTCAGCTCACTGCCCACTCTGTTGGTTGGCAGGTGTGGTTCAAGAACCGCCGCTCCAAAGAAAAGCGGGAATGGAGGAAGAGCAAGGAGGAGCAGACAGAACCTTCCACGGCTGCGAACAATCCCATGGTCACCTACGCCCTTGCGGACACCACTGCGCCTGCGCCTGCTGATGGCCCTGCCTCTGCCTATGTCCATGCGCCTGGGGTCTCCACTGCGCCTGCGTCTGCTGATGGCCCTGCCCCTGCCTATGTCCATGCACCTGCGGTCTCCACTGCGCATGTCCCTGCACCTCACCACGCCCCTGTTCCTCGCCCTGCACCTGCCAATGTCCCTGCGCCAGGGGATCCAGCGTTCTTGGGGAGCGCGGGTTTCTACACCCCAGCTCCATCCACTTCCTTTGGCCTTTGGCCAAGGGCCCAATACGCCAATGATTACAGCCAGGACCAGGCCTCCGGGGCCCTTGCACAAGGCACCCGAGGGAATCATTGGTCGCCCCCAGCCTGTACACAGTATCCCAACCCCATGGGTTACTTGCCGGATTCCATAGACTCGAACTTTTCTGGGCTTTTTACAGACCTACAAAGCCCTTCCTGCGTTTCTCAGCCCTTGGAGGAATCTGTGGACTTAACGAATGAAAGCAGGTGTTTTCTGGACTTATAAGGGCTTTTTCTCGATGACGAATCCCCCCCCCCATTATATAATGTTTTAAAATTTTTCCCTCTCCTTTTTATTATGAGTGAAATATAGAGAGCAAGTTGACTTTCCATTCAGTCTCTCCTCTCTCTCTCTCACTCGTTGGCTTTTGAATCTAAACCGACTCATAGCTGACCCTCCGTTTAGTTTCTGAGGCCGTAATAGCATTGGACCTCCAGAAACTCTAATAACTTTGATAAATGTCGATACTTGTAGAGGGGCTTTAGGCCTTCTCTTCACAGGGTCCCTTTGAATCGTGCTCGACGCGAAGGAATCATCAACAGCACTCGAAGAGAGTGCCTTCCAAAGAGTGGATTTGAAGTGTCAGAGAAGAGAGGCCTCTGAGGTTAGCAGTTACCCTACCGTCACGGGAGATTTGGTGGCTTTGTGGACTAAAAAGTTGTACTGGCAACTCTGAAACGGGGGGTTCAAATCCACCCTGGTAAGAAGTTTTGGGGGGGGAACTAAACAATTTACATGATCTGAAAATTCCCTGGAGGGTGAGCTATGAATTAGATGATTCTGTTCCGACAGCACATAACAGTGGATTACTTTGGTCTTTAATATGAAAAATATTGCTTAAAAATTACAGGTGACTTTGTACAAGGCTCTGCAGATTAAAGTAGATTGTAAGATCTTCTGACTCAACATGTCCCATGCTAGTCTGTCTCATCCCCAAAGAGCGAGCCCTTTCCTCCGGCTGCCCCCTTCCTCTGCTCCCACCTTGTGGCCATCTTGACCCCTGTGTGGTTCCCTGGCCATTTAGTTAACCCACTTCTGTGAGGGTCGTTTTCTTCTTCATTGACTCTATTTTACTAAGCATGATGTCTTTCTCCAGGCCCTGGACCGTCCTGATATCTCGTCCAAAGCATAGGAGGTAAAGTCTGGTCATCTTCCTTCTAAGTAACTTTGTGTTTCACTTCTTCCAAAACCAGTTTGTTGTTCTGGAATTCCACGTTATTATTGTTAGGTGTTTCCCTCAAAGTGGAATAACTCTAATAGATTTTTTTCTTTTCTTTTTCTTTTTTTTTTTGCTGCTGTTGTGTGAAGTTGAGCTGCTTGCAACCCATACTACCCCTGTGTACAGCAGTTCTGAAGTCAGCTCTGTCCTGAGCCAGTCTCGGATTCCGGCACACCAACTCCCATTGCCCAGAGACGGTATCAATCCAACTCATCCAGGGTCTTCCTCTCCTACTCTGTCCCTCCACCCTTCCCAGCATGATGTCCTTCTGCAATGATTGGTCCTTCCTGGCCATGTGCCAAAAAATATGTGAGATAGAGCTTGAAAATCCTAGCCTCCAAGAAGAGACTTGGTTTCCTCCTCTTCAAGACAGACCGGATGTGTCAGAGATAGTGAAGTTGACACAAGATAGAGCAGGGTTCAAGGCTATAGATGTTATAAGTGACTGGAAGGCACATAACAAAAAGCAACAACTAAGATAAGCCACTACCCTTGAAAGCCTTATCTAATCTTTCCAGTTGCTGTTGTTATTTTGACACCACAGAAGCAATCTCTAAACCAGCACAATGCTCCTAGTAGACATTCTTTGCTAATTGAGTGGAAGCAATCACTTGGTTTTAAGAAGACTTTGGGAGATATTTTTTGTTTCAAAATTAAAGGTTATCTCAGGGCAAGAGTCCATCCAGGCTCCATGATTCCCAAAAAGTCTAGATTCCATGATAATTTGGAAGTTGTGGTCGGAATTTCTCCTCTTTGACTCAGATAATCTTTGATCCAAACATTCAGCAGCTGATTCCTCGAGTCCCTGAAATTCTGGTTCTGGCTGATTAGACAGTTATTCCTGGAGGCGACTCATCAGCCTCTTTCATCTTCTCTTCGTGTTCTTGACTCTGAAGAGCCTCAGGAGCACAGATGGTGAGTGCTCAGCCACTGCATGAAAGGTTGGAAGTTCGAACTCACTAGCTGCTCCTTAAAAGAAAGATGAAGTCAGTCCTTTAAAGACTGACAACTAAACAACTATGAGATATCATCTCACCCCAGACAGAATAGCAAAATTTAACAGAACAGCAAGCAACAAATGCTGGCAAGGTTGTGGAGAAACTGGAACCCTTATTCACTGTTGGTGGGAGTGTAAAATGGTGTAACCACTATGGAAGGCAGTATGGTGCTTTCTCAAAAAGTTACAAATAGAGATACCATTTGACCCAGCAATTCCACTACTGGGAATATACCCCAAAGAGACCATAACTGCCACCCAAGCAGATATATGCACACCCACATTTGTCGTGGCTTTGTTCACAATAGCAAGGAGTTGGAAACAACCTAAGTGCCCATCAACAAATGAATGGATAGAAAAACTGTAGTATATTCACACAATGGAATACTATGCTGAATTGAAAAACAAGGAACTCATGAAATATTATTCAAAATGGGTGAGCTTGGAGGACATTATGCTGAGTGAAGTATCTCAGTCACAAAAGGACAAATACTGCATAGGGCCACTCTTGTAAAGCAAGACTGACATCAGGGTTAGGAAGAGACTGAGAAAGACAGGTTCAATAATGTATACTGCGTTGAAACAGATGAGTGAGAAAACTAAAAGGGATATGAGAGTGAAGGCTACATGGTGGAGTGGACCTGGGGGGAGGGATTGTAAAACAATGAAAGAATTTTTCTTTTACTTTTCCAAGAGGGTAGTTAGTGTACTAGGGGGGAGGTTTGGGAGGGGAGGAAAGTATAACAATGAATGAATGGATAATCCAAAGTCTCTGTAAATTTTTACTGAAATTAATAATAAATTTAAATTAAAAAAAATAAATAAAGACTGACAACCTTGAAAGGACCCTGTGAGGCAGTTCTGTTTGGATGACTATGAGTGGGAATTGACCTCAAGGCAACTTAGAAGTTTATTCCTCACTCTCCTTCTTCCTTTGTCGCTCCAGGTGAATGTTGTTGTTAGGCGCTATCGAGTCACCTGTGACTCATAGTGACACTCTATACAACAGTTTTGAAGCCTGCCTGTCCTGAGTCAGTCTCACTGATTACAACACACCCACTCCGATCGCCCCAGTTACTGTGTTAACCCTTCTCCTCCAGGGTCTTCCTCTCCTGTGCTGTCCCTACATCCTTCCGAGCATGATGTCCTTCTCTGAGGACTAGTTCCTTCTGGCCACCTCCCCAAAGTGTGTGAGATGGAGCTTCAAAATCCTAACCTCCATGAAAGAAACTTGATTTCACCCCCTCCAAGACAGATCTGTTTTTTTACCTCTGGGCAGTCGATAGTACATACAAGATTCTTCAACTCAAAGACATCAGTTCTTCTTCTGTCATCCTTAGTCATTGTCCAGCTCTCTCATGTATAGCAGATAGTTGTGAAGCCCATGGCCTGGATCGGGTACACCTTAGTCTCTAGACTGACATCGTTGCTTTTCAATAAAAGGCCCCTGATAGGCCATGTTCCCAGTGAAATTCATCTTATTTCCTGACTGCTGGTGTCAAGAGTGCTGATTGTAGAGAAAAAAAAAAAAAAATCTGAAAGTGTTAACAACCTCAATCTCTTCTCCATCTATCATGGTGCTGTCACTTGGCCTAGTGGTGAGAATGTTTGTCTTCTTGATGTTGAGCTTTAATCCATATTGAAGATGATTAGTCCTTGACCTTCTGCAACAAGTGCTTCAGGTTCTCCTAAGTTTCAGCACACAAGGTTGAAGAGAGACAATATCAAGGTACAGTTTCTATACCTTAGAGTGGCTTGCAAGCTTTTCAGATCCCAGCCACTGTGCTACGTGCTGGGATGTATAACAAGAAGCACTGGCACACCTTGGTAGGCTGACCCTCTGGAGTGTCTCATGAAATCATGACCATTCAAAGCTCCAACCAAAAAACCAAATCCCGTGAGAGGTCTGGCTAAACATCAGCAGCCCCAACCTCTACCCTTTCTTGTTCCCTTTTTCTGTTGTTGCAAATGCATCTATCACACGACTTGTGCCCATTCAGCTTTTTTCCAAGTGGATGTATGACTTGTTGACAGGAATTCCAACAATGAGCTGTGCATATCTATTGTGATTTTTTTTTACCCGTCACCTTAAAGAAAACGTTGTGTTCCTTAAGAAAAGGAATAGAATCCTTTAATATTATAAAGAACCCCAGTTAGGGAGCTCTGGTGGCCCAGTGGCAAGAAGCTACACTGCAATTCTGAAAGCGCGGTTCAAATCCACCAGATGCTGGAGAAGGAAGGGCAATTTCCTCCTGGGCCTGTCGGATCTGATTTGACAGTACACAACAAGAGAGGGGGAATCCCAGTGGCACAGTGCATTACTGGTAGGGCTGCTAACCAAAAGATTTGAGGTTCAAATCCACCAGCCACTCCAAGGGAGAAGAAATGAGCAGTCTCTTCTTATAAAAATCTCACAGACGCAGAAACTCGGTGAGGGATCTCTATGAATGAGAACCAACTTAAGTGCAGTGACTTTGAGTGTTGGGAATATTGACAATAGAAAGTAGATATATTTTTTTAATATTTTTAAAAATTTTTTTTATTGGGAAAAACATTTTGGGGGTACAAGGAGGTGAGGGTTGGGGGCAGAAGGGTGAGGATGGGCC